TCTACACTGTAAGTTAACTGGATTATTAGTAAAACTTACCCCTGTAGCCAATTTGTCTCTCAGCAGCTTAAGGTTCCGTACACCAAGATGTCCCATACGTCTATGCCACAACTCTATGTCTATGGTACTGACAGTCGAGGCTAGTGCTTTCTCCTGTGAACAGAGCTTAAGTTTATAAACACCATTATCCTCCACACCTGTATATAAGACATCACCAGTAACCTTACATCCATCCGCTTTCAACAGTTCATAGCCTTTCGCTGAAAATACAACAACTACATTCTTCTTTACAATAGCACTCACGCTCAACAAGTTAGTTGCTAAGTGTGGTACATACATCACTTCACTTACGCCTGCAACATTCTCCTTACATACCACAGAACCTTCTCCAATACCATATACTTTACTACCATTCGCACATCCGATTTCCACTTTTTTGTCATACATTCTAACGTCCATTAAATACTCTTTGCTGTTAGTCATATGGCTTGATGCCCCAGAATCTAAAATCCACTCGTCTGGTTTTCCTGAAGTTGCAAGTCCCAATGCTAACGAAGCCTTCTTATTTTTTGAGTTCTCTGGACAATCTCTCGCTTTATGTGGTCCATTACAAATAAAGCATTTTATCTTCTGTGACTTCTTGTATGGAAATCTCCTAGTCTTGTTATGTGTATCAACACGCAATGCTATATCATTACTGCTTGAACTACTAGTGTTATACGAATCTTCCATTTGAAGTAATTTGGTTTTTATGTAATCTGTGGTCAACTCTACTCCTGAGTTTTCAATCGCAAGCCTCATTGGTTGAAAAGTTTCGGTCAAACCTTGTAACATGAGAGCAGCTAGCATCTCATCGTCAACTTCTTTACCGATGTCCCGTAATTGCTGCGCTACTAACATTATTTCTGTTACATAACTCCTAACTGATGTAAATTGTTCAAGTTTTAGGCTAACTAACTTGGTCAAAAGTCTGCAACGGTTGTTAAGACCCTTATCTTCAAAAGCCGATCTCAAAGCGTCCCACGCTTCTTTAGCTGTCTTAGCGTTTCGAACGTGAATCAGACAGTGGGGCTTTACCATCAAGCATATTTTTGCTCTCGCTTTTTGGTCTTTCCTACAGCCTACTACATCAGTTTTATCTGGCGTTGTTTGTGTGTACTCCCATAAATCATCGTGAATTAGATATAATTCTACCAAAAATTTCCAAGTACTATAATTCGAATTTCCATCGAGTTTCTCTATGCTCATACCTGTGTCGTGTGAAGGCTGAGATCTCTCCGATCCATCGCTGCTCGAATTTACCTTCATACTATTTCCTTGTGTAGCCATATTTTAAGTCTTCTTATATTTATCATATGCGGCCCATAACCTGATCGAAGACTAGATAACCTCGATCATATATAATAAATAAATAATGCCAGCTAATATTGACTTAATATATATTTACAAACAAAATAGAACACATGAGTACAAACAACGTATCTAAGCAAGTAACAACCAAAAACTTGAAGTGCATGTCAGTCAGTATATTCAAATAATTCTGACAACCACAAACCATACGAATAACAGCAATGAGATTACACGCAAATATAAACTCCTAGCAATTTGTCGCTCTAACACTATATTTGAATTGAAACACTATTTACATAAAACTATACAAGAATACACAAAAAAAAGAGAAAATTAAAATTAATGCAAAAAAAATCTTCAAAGCGCGCCTTTCCTCTTCGAAGGTTCCCGCCGAAAAAAACCGATCAGGATAAGGTCTGACACCTTAACAAAGAGTAAAATTTCTATAACTTTTTTTTAGTTAAGTTCTCCCTTTTCAGGGAAGGCAAGGGGAACAATGCCTATACAGCCTAGTCTTAAGTTATATTATTCTGTTTTTTTTTTACATTAGAATGTCGGTGTGACGCATTCTAATGTTTCTTGAAGTGTTTGGCACGAAATGTATCAAGCTGGCTTTTTCGATAAGCTTCTGTGAGGTAGTCAATACTACAATAAAATTCTCACGTTCACTTGACCGGAATAGCGTATATTTTGACGATTCTACTAATTCTTCAGTTACGCAGACAGTTGTAACACAAAATCACACCAATTTTATTTCACAATATCCACTATGAACGAATTTAAGAATAATTAAAATAAGACGCCAACCACACTAGTGGTTAAAATCCCTTCTGGAATCCCGCCAAAAACTCCCTTTTTATTATTCTATCAATACTTTTCTGTAAGGAGTAATAAAAAACCACAGAACACATAAACCCATATAAAACCATATATGTATACGACTGAAGGACTTGTATCCATGGTCATGAATAAATTTAAAAAAAAATACTGCCGCTTTTTTTTTTTTTTTTTTTTTTTTATAATTTTTTCATGGCCTTGGATACAAGTCTTTCAGTCGTAACCATACTGCCTCGTCATCATTAAGGATATTCATTTAATATCGATATATATATCGAATTTATTCGATATTTACCATACGATATATCAAGTGAATCGGTGTTTTGACAAAGATCTTTTTTATTCGATATATCGATATATAAACATCAAATCGAAAAAAGTAACGGTGACTGATAATGACAATAAAACCAAAGTTAAGGAAATGGGCAAACCGAGTGCAATGAAATGTATCATGTACATACCAGAAGCGGGATATACTGGTGCCAATTCTGGCGTGATTCTCTAAACTTAAAACTAAATTTAACATTAGTCTCTCCTTTTCATTCTGTATAGAGAATGACAAGGATATACTGCTGTCAAATTTAAGTTTAGGTTTAGAGAATCACTTTGTTTGATTTCAGAACTCTTTGATTTCACTTCATAAAATAAAAGTGTAGTAATTTAATTAAAAAAAAAACTTAGTCTTTACTTTTTGGACACTGAAAACGCTGTCCACCATCATTGTGACGTCACAAATTTTGTAAACCATTAAACGTCATTGTCGTGTTAGGGTGCGGCCAGAGTGCACTCAGATTCAGATTCAGATTCAGATTTCGAAAACAAGCGCGAGAAATAAACACTGTAATCGAAGGGTACAGCCAGAGTGCACTCCTGATTCAGATTCAGATTCAGACTCAGAAAACAAAGCGCGAGAAAAAGCAAGCAACCTGCTTAGACTACACTGTTTATTTCTCGCGCTTGTTTTCGAAATCTGAATCTGATTCTGAATCTGAGTGCACTCTGGCCGCACCCTTACTGTGGTTTCTTTCGTCGGACTAAAATATACATAAAAACTCTTATAACTTGTAGAAAAGTTTCCGTTTATTGGTTTTGTTGACTAAATTAATACTGGACGCAGGATTTGTGAAGCAGAAACGACAAAACTCTTTGACTTAGTAGGTACATTCATAACCTTAAAAATTATATCTTTAAACTTTAAATATTATTCAATGAGTACTTACATCGAAGTGATCTGTGCAAAAAGAAATGATTCGACTTTGAGTCGATAAAGTTACAGGATTTAGGGTGTTATAAACATATGTTCATGTGTAGGTATGTTCTCGTATAATACAATCATGATAATTACTATAATTTTCATATCTATTTGAAATCATGGTTTTATAATATAAACTCAGATAGTTTATTTTCTTCATGCTTGCGAGTGTTTGTTTACAATTTTTTTGAACTCACAGCATAGATAAATTTATAGACTCAAAAGGCCAACAGCGTTTTTGTACGTTCATGAAAAATCTATTTTAAAATTAAAGTTTAATAGCTTTCTAGGTCAAAAAAAAAGTCGAATACATTATTTTTCGGTCTAATAGATCAATTATTAACCATTTAAAACATATTTCCAAAAAGTGTCAACTAGCTTATTTCACCAGTGTATGAAAAGGGGACACTGATGTTTAGTTTTAAGTGCTTAAAGAATCACGCCAAAATCGACACCCGTGTCTGTGTCTGATGGTAAATGTCTACCACACCATGGCAAATGCTGTCAATGCAGCTTCTTCTCCAAGAACTCTTATGTTCTATTTTCCCTTTTTAAATTAATTATATAACAAAATACTCGTTTTATTCGGTTTCACCTATCCTTAATTAAATCCTTAGGCCTCATCATCGCTTTCCATCAGGCGAGATTGTGGTCAAACGTCTTGCTTATTAAACATAAAAAAAATGTGTGCGTGTACTAGTGTACACACGTAAGAAGTGAAACTTCTTTATGGCCTTATTTTTCGAAAAATGATCTACTTGCAACTTTCCAGAAATTGGTTAAATAAAGTTAAATTAGATAAAGTTTAAACAAAAGGATTTTATTATCATAGACATGAATACAAATTACTGCCTATGAAACTGTTATGATTACACGGCTCAGTAATCTAAGGCACATGTTCCACCTCCGACGATGAACGATAAGCGAGTAGAAACTAGAAACGAATTGGCAGTCCTGAGTTAAAATGCACGCGCACGGCTTTTGACAGCCAAGCCAGCTTAACCGAGCGAGTATAGCTGAGCGAGTATCGCTGAGCTAGTATCGCTGAGCGAGAATCGCTGAGCGAGAATCGCTGAGCGAGAATCGCTGAGCGAGTATAGCTGAGCGAGTATCGCTATGCGAGTTTGGCTGAGCGAGTATCGCTGAGCGAGTACCGCTGAGCGAGTACCGCTGAGCGAGTACCGCTGAGCGAGTATCGCTGAGCGAGTATCGCTATGCGAGTTTGGCTGAGCGAGTCTTATCTTTAATAACTATTGTCACTCAGCTACAAACGAGTAGAGAGAGTTCTCGCCGGCGACAGTGTGATCATTCAGCTATCAACTATTAATATAAAAAAAGATGGCGCGTAACGGAAAAATGTGACGCGTAACGTCCGAAAAATGTGACGGTAAATTTTTTTCCAACGCCGATAAAGAAGTTTCACTTCAAAAACTTAAACTTACTCAAAAAAAGGACGTAGATCAAAAGAACAAACTTTTCATATGCAAATTTTACCAATTCTACGTAATTTTTTCATCGAGCATACACCTTTTCCAAAATCCGAGTTGGCAACACTGCTGGCAACACCGTCTCGCGCGCGCCATTTTAGTTCATGTTCACGTGGAATTTGTTTGATTTTGGGTGTCATTGTAATTTTCATAATTTCTGTAGATCTATTTCAAGTACCTAACTACCTGTTCAAAACACTAAGTTTGTAAAAAATGGTTGACCGAATTGATATGGCGTTAGATGATATTATTAAAGCTAGTAAGAAAGGCAGAGGAGGTGGTGGAGCTGGGCGAAAGTTTGAAGCCAGAAAACCAGCTAGAGGTGGTGGTGGCGGCAGTGGTGGATTTCGAAATGGTCGCACCGGAGGCCTGATACGAGGAAGAAACCGTGGTGGAGTTTCCAAAGCAACTAATTACACAAGGGTAAATCAAATGTTACGTTAAGATTGCAAATGGCGGCGGATGAACATATTCAAATGACGCATCACTCGTATACTCTCGACTTGAACTAAAGCTATGCCAGGAGCATTCTAATGAAAATCAAAAGTTTACTTGCGAATTTGTAGCTGCTGGTCGCTAATTAATGACACTGGCTTTTCTTTGTAAACAAATAAATTCAGCTCATTCTTGAAGTTGGTCAATCGTTTCACACATTGTGAAGTTGTAATCTACCTATAAATATGCTGTTTTTTATGGTACTATTGAAGTAACTGCCACATTTTTAAGTAATGCGGGTGCGATATCCCGACCAATCATACTTTTTAAACAAGATTTTATTAACGGAACTCTGAAGACGAATTGATAATATACGCAAAATGGCGCACAATGATTTGCTGTGGGAGGACAAGCTTAGTGATGGCACCATGGAAGGAGAGGGTCACTAAGTACCAAAATCCACTGTGACAACAGAACATAGCAATGTGTTACATCTGTTACTGCCAGTGCTGTGTGTAAAGTGTGAAAAGACAACTAAAAAAAATATATATCTTATATAAATCTGTTTATCATTATAAAGTTTAATGAATGTGTTCTATTGTATTGTTATTAAACTTTTCTGTAATGTGAAATATTATAGCTTATACAAGTGGTGTTTGCCGTGCATCTTGAGTGTACTTATACTCAATGAGGCTCTTAGTGGCTCACCGGCAAGCTCTATCACGGACGACCTATTTCAGGGTGATGTTAACAGCACTTGGAAACATGACATGTTCAATGAATTCACTGACCGTAAGATTCAAAGAGGAGGAGGACCATTATCTACAGGACCTACCAAACTTTTGGTTTCCAATCTGGATTTTGGAGTGTCAGACTCTGACATCCAAGAACTATTTTCAGAATTTGGTATTCTGAAAAGTGCTGCTGTACATTATGATAGATCTGGCAGATCTCTAGGTAAGATATAATAGAAATATACATTTAAAAAAGTTGCTTTATATTACATCATGTCATCATATTTTTATTTTTTGTTACAATGAATAACCAGGAATTTAAATTCTAGGGACTGCTGATGTTGTATTTGACAGAAGAGCTGATGCTTTAAAAGCAATGAAACAGTATAATGGAGTTCCATTAGATGGTAGAGCAATGAATATTCAATTGGCCACATCTGAAATTAGTTCCTTCAGGAGCCAGGAGAGAGGAGGTCGTCTCGGCAGTATTGGTGGTGGTGGGGGTCCAAATAGAAGAAATTCTAATAGAAGTGAGTATATAACTTTATCTGGTTATATGAAATATAATATTTAAACAGATTTTAAATATGTTCTTTATTATTACAGATAACCCACCAAACAGAAATCAAAGTGGTGGAGGTGGTGGTCGGGGTGGCTCCCGGCGTGGGCGTGGTGGGGCTGGCAGAGGCAAGCGCCCCGCACTGACCGCTGAACAACTTGACGCTGAACTTGATGCATATGTCAAGGAAATTAAGTGAAGTTATTTCTCACTGTACAGTGTTTGGACTGATTGTACTTTAAATTGTAATATTAATTGAATAGAATATATGCTAAGAGACCGATTGTTAGGTTTTACCATTTCATTTAAATGACATCATCATTGTGTTAATTACAGTAAGGAATGATATTTTTTTTAAATAAAATAGTTGGGTAAGAACCTTGAGTCAATTTCATTGTTTCAGAATGATACCAATCTTAATTTCAATGGTTTCTTCTCCTCTGTTTGGTAATTCATTATAATGTTATTGATCTCCAAAGTTATCCAGTTTTAAGCTGCACACCCATGTCTTGCTATTAATCTTATCACATTTGTTGTTCTAAATTGCTGAATTATATTGACTTAAATGGTGTATTATGCACTTAGGTAATTCTTATTAAACAACTTATATAGGCAATTTGTGTAAGTTTTGTCACTAACTAAAAATGCCATAATAGCATACCTTTACAAAAAACATGTTTATAAAAAATCAAATTTCTGCTGGTTTTGTATAAGGATCTATATTTTTTTCAGCATGAGAGAACAGTCTTAAGAGCAAGCGCACACTGAGCTACTAGATGCAGGCGCGCAGTCAGTAGTGGCTTAGTGGCAGCTACTCGAACGCTTATTTTACGCCGATACTTGTGCGAAGTCTCGACTGCAGCTTGTGGACGCGTTTAGTGGCTGCCACTAATGGCACAATGTGTGCTTGCTCTTAAGTGCCTTGATGAGTTGATAAGTGTCAAAAAGATAAATGTGATTGATGCTGAAACTCTTGGTCCTAAGAGAAGGCAGTGCTGCAGTCACTGTCAAAATCAACTTCTGTACAAAATGATATTTCATAATTTCCAATAATTTAATGTGGCTACTAGTGTTGCATATTTATCTATAAATGGTTGCATTGTTCATCCTCTGCAGCTATATATCGTAAGAGATCTGATGTAGTCACATTAGTTTGGGATCCACTTAAGGTTGAATATCAGACAGCAAACAGAGGTCTAAAAAGCAAATTTTTTGACCAAAATATTATCCTTTGATTATATTATGTCAGTAGAGACAACTGCTCAGTTTGCCCACTAACCTTGAGGACCCCGAGAAGCATACAGAAATTCCCTATCAATCAACTTGCCCTTGTTCTTCCAGATAATTTCAATTATCAGAAAAAAAATGTTAAGACCTTAGATTAAAACAAAAAGGGTAGATACGGTACGCTCTTACTTGCATCAAACAAAAACTGATCTGATCCCACTTTACTACATATGCACAGTGTTTCCAAATGATTTCCTTTCCCCACGCCTCAATTCAGATTTCCCCTTCTTAGGACATTTTTCCCTCAAAAATTATTCTGCTGTAGTTTTTAGATTTGATACTAGTGTAGTAACTAAAGAAAAAAAAGGTCTTAATCTATCTTATTATATAGCAAATAAATAAAATATATAAAATCTGCACGTGTTGCCACAGTTTCTTTTATACGGCAACACTCTAGTCCACGGTATAGTCCATAAAAAATTTGTTCCGTGCCGCATTATTTTAGGCTAGGCTTTACCCATAATTTCCCGCAATTTCCCCTTTTCATGTCTTTCCTCTTTTTCTTCCCCTCTGGACCCTAATTTCCCCTTAAAAGGGGAATTTCCCCTCATTGTGGAATCACTGCATATGCAACACTCACACATCCACCTGTTTGTAAAGATACAATCGAACGAACGAAACAGCAATATAAGTTTCAACGCCAGCGCGAATGGGACGGCGAGATCCGCGTCACTGCAATACCGACCCGAACGAAACAGCACGTTAACTTTCAACTGCAGCGCGAACGAGACGGCGAGATCCGCGTCACTGCCGTACCGACCAATCACGCGACCAGTACTCGACGTCACTACAGAGTAGCGTCAGAGAAAAAAATAAAAGTATTTTTATTAAATATAAGTTTTTTATTATAATTCAATAAAAAAAAATCCACATTGAGCAATTTTTAATCTACTTTGAAAAGCTGAGGGAATGAAACCATTTTTTTAAGGTATCCTATACTGCTGGATGTGGTCATTTTTATTGTATTCAATGTTAAAAAGAATCTACTCGAGATACAATTTTTACTAGAAACTTTACACTTATTATATTTCAATACCAATCATAAACTGATTGTTCAATAAATAAAAAAAAACTAAAATAATATTAAAAAAGTTAAAATCAGAAATCACACATTATTATATCACCTGATAAAAAATCAGTTAACAAGCGTACCTACTAAAAGTAGGTTTTTTATACGATACCGTCAACAATTTTTTAAGATACCTTGTACTGCTGGATTTGGAAATTTTCATCGTCTACAGTATTTAAAAGAATCTAATCCGAAACACTTATTATATTTCTCTTCTAAGCATGAATTGCTTGTTTTATAAATCTAATCTAAACTATACTTTACATTATTCATCTAAATAATTAAAAAAATATAAAGGTAAAATTAAATAACAAAAACAATAATCATCATCGATAAATAAAAATAAACATAAGTTATGCCTTGGGCTTTATAACAGAAGTAACAATCTTACTAGGTACCTACCTACTGTGTGGGAATAGGGTTAATGACAAAACCTTTTTTTCTTCGTCGGCCAGGTAGATTAATAAAAGTATTGGACAAGTATTTATTTCTTATTCACATAATCAAAACATTACAGAGATATGTTGATATGAAATTTCCCATGACGTCACGTCTTGGTACAATTTTTACTTAGAAGTGACTTTACAAGCCTTCTCTCCCAAACTTTCACGCGCTCTATCCTTTTGGTATTAGTTTCCAAAACATAGAACCATTCTAAATCGAAAGAAGCTCCGGAATATCCGGGAGTGGACCGGTATTGCCTCCGTCGAACAGTTGTTCCGGCTGGCTGCTGATAGAACTACATACAGGAAGCTAACGGCCAACCTTCAGGATTGTAGAGGCACTGGAAGAAGAAGAAGATTACAAAAACAATTTTAAACCCTACAAAGAATGAAAACGTCATTTCTGTAAGCACAGAGTATATTAAAGCTAAAATGTCTGAAAAAATAAATAAACCTCTTCGAAGAAACCAAAATGTAATGAGTTTAATAAATGCAGCATATTTTTTACCTACATAAATTAATATTCCAAAAAAAATTACGAAATATTTTTTTTGTTAACTCTACCCAATTTTTACTCTCGACTGACATTACAATGGCAAATATTCGCGCTTATGCTTTTTCTCCCTCATACAAACGTTTACAAGTGTTGTTGTCTTTTTCTTAATAACAAATACCGAATAAGATTCAAAACAAACAGCATTTTTTATGAAAAAATATATTTTATAGTACTTATGAATGAAAAGTGATGCCGTCGGTTTTATTTTTAGTTCTTGAGCATTTGAGCACTTTTTAAAACAACACATAGGCATTGTTTTATCATATAATCACAAAATTTTAGCAATATTTCTTTTTGACGTTCACATGTACGTCATTTGCATGTCAAGTTGTGACTAAAGCGATTGTGTTTTTTTTTTTTTTTTTTTTTTGTTTCCTCCCAGGCGGGGGAGAGGGTGAGAAATCCTCATGGATACCCTACAGCCGGCTGTAAGGTTATGTCAGACTCCTACTGACTAAAAAACACCCTTTATTCATGCTTATGGCCAGAAGGGCCTTACAAGCTTCATCTGAAGCGATCACCCCCCGAGAGGGGGAGAAGCGATTGTGGCCTTGGGCCACAATTTATGTGGATCACTTTTGTGAGGCTAGTGCCGTATCTACCCTTTTTGTTTTAATCTAAGGTTAAGACTGTCAATATGGTTTTCTTGTGTGACTGATATAAAGTTTATAATTGAAAAAATATAAACGAAATTATACCCTTACAAAAGAGGTTAATATATGAAATGCCAACAAATTCGAAAAGATTTAAACTTAACGTTTTAACCATCAGGTGAGACGTCAGTTTGTATACCCCCTATAATTATAAAAAAAAAATGTTTCATTAGCATATTCGGCTGGAGGTTGGACCTTATTGCAATGTACAATTCAACGAAACTGATCCTAAATTAAAACTTCTGGCTGTATTTACCTACTTATTTGTCTATCACTTGTCTGCTTATGAACCGTGTGAGGTTTGAGTAACAAGAGAAACTTAAAAATCGTGTTCCCATACAAAAATATTGATTTATATCGTGTACAAAATATTATAAAACCGCGCAAATCTGTAAATGGCATACCTAATATGGAAATATTTTACGTCTTACGTACGAAGATCCAAAAAGTAGTTCTATTTGAACCAATTTATAGCAATTGAAATTGTTAAGGTTTGATTATTGCAAAAATAGTGAGTTACTTGGAGACATTTTTTGAAAAATATAAGAAAAAAGTATTTTATTTGCGTAAATTAAATATAATGTAAATCGTTGTCTAAATTAGCCTGTTTAGCTAGTAAAGTTTCACAGGTAACTCAAAATTCACGGTGTAACCTATCGTGTGTATCTTTATCGTGTGTAGGTAAAGAAACGCCTAGGATACTAACCTCTTTCTTATATAAGAAACAGTAATGGGTCAAATTGAAATCACTTAGGCGCTTTGCAGACGACGGGGCGGGGCGGGCCGGGCAATTTCGCCGCGAATAATAGCCCAAAGTGAATCGTATACTTCAAACGCACACAGAGGGCAAAAAGACCGCGCCGCAGGTGCCCGGCGGGCAGTGGCGGCGCGGCATGTCCGCGGCTGCCCGCCGTGGATCATACAAACCAGTTTATATGCAGTAACGCAGACGGCGGCGCGGGGCGGTCAGCTCAGTCCGCGCCACGCGCTTTTTAGTGATGGACTATTCACAAGAACGAACGTTCTGAACTGACCGCCTCTGCCCGTCGTGTGCTTTGTGTACGCGGCGCAGCCGCAGACATTGACGGGCAGACGCGGTCTTTATTGCTTCGCGGACAAAAAGCCCGCCCCGCCCTGTCGTCTGCTAAGCGCCTTATAGTAAATAGACTGCAGTTTTATGGTCCATTCATACTAGCGCAGAGTCTTAAGCGTCAAGATGCAAGTCGGTTGCAGTCCGCAATTTTAAATAAACCAGTCGTACATCCGCAACCGTGCTACTTACAGCCGCTATAAGTGCAGCCTGCAGCCGAGATCGGAAAGCATTTTCAAATACGTTGGGCAGCGTGGTAACGCCCGGTCGCGACC